CTTCAGCCGATTAAATTACTACACAAAGCTACATAACTATCTTAACAGGTAAATTTGTTGACATTTCCTGCCTGGAGTAGTAATTTGTTTGAGAAAAAGGTGAGAAAAAATGAGAAAAACAGATCTGACCTAGCACCACAAAATAACTATTGCAGCAGACACAAACAAGAAGAGCGGCATCAAAAAAATAATAATAAGAGAGAGAGAAGATGAAAGAGGTGGATAATAAGAGAGAGATGATGATGAAAGAGGTGGATAATAAGAGAGAGAGATGATGAAAGAGGTGGATAATAAGAGAGAGATGATGAAAGAGGTGGATAGAGGTGGATAGATAGGTAGAAAATATTTCAACCGATAAACTTGGATGAGAAGCTCGATAACAAAGAACCAGTCTGAAAAGGGAAAGAAACAAAACAAAAAAAAAAAAAAACGAAAAGAAAAGAAAATCTTTCGCGATTTGCTGCGAAAGAAATACACCAAAACTTGTTAGTATTAACCATCCGCCCACTCATCATCTATTCACCCATAGTATACTGGTTAAACAGCTTTCAAAAGTTGGCAAAAGAGTTAAGCTATCGTTAACGAATTGCCATTGTGGTGAGAAACAACAAAACCTCTTTAAAACAAATAACAGATACAGGTGCTAGAGCGTAACTACTTGTGTTAGTCCAAAATTTTCGAATCCTAGTGGAAGGCATTCTCTCAGAGAAGTTCAGTTGAGAAAAAAGTGATTGGGGGCTGATTTGAGAGGCAGATGATGACCAAATTAGAGGGAACAATTCGAAACGATGGACAATAAGAATGGATAGCATAGGCTGTTCGGGTTTTTTTTAGTTTGAACCTTCCAGCATCGAGCTTCCCCAGTTTTTTCCAGCTACTTTTGTTATAACAATCTCTAAGATAATTGGAAGAAAAGGTCGTTTAGTTTTGCCTAACTGAAATGAAATGAAAGCCCTCCAGGAACTAGGATTGGTTAGACCCTCTCAACCTTCTGATCACAGTTTCCCCCAGGATCTTCTGTAAAATAAACCCTTTACTTATCTTAAGCCTAAAGCTGAAAGGCGATGATCATATGTAGGTGATACATTTTAGTTGAAGCAATAATGGAAATGGTAAATACTGATTTACTTACTATCGCAAAATGTGACATTATAAAAAATCAAAGGGAGGCAGGTTATTCTTTGTAAATCTTGGAAACTTTTAGCTTAGGTCTGCAAGTCCGTCAGTTGCAGTTTGAACCTAAAACAACTCCATCCTTGGCCGTCCTCAACCATCCTGGTTTCGTTTGAATTTTTCAAGTCTCTTTGGTGCTAGCCCACCCTAGCCAGTCAGTGCGGATGACGAGCAAAGAGGGGGAATAACCTGCTTTTCATTAATATAATTAAAAAATACCAAACCAATAAAAAGTTAAAAGATAAATATGATAGACTTCTTCTATTTTAGCTCGCATCAGTGAGAAGAGACAAACAAAAGGTGTCATATAATCCAATCTTTTTTGGTATTGGTGACTTAAGAGAGACACTCCCGTTGTAATGTTTCTTTGTTTTGGTGACAGAAACACAAATCCACGAACATCATGGGTCTCTGTAAAAAATTGAATCGACCGCGTAAGAAGGCAAAATAACTGAGAACTAACAGAACTAATTATTATGTATTAGCCGATACATCACGCTGCCACCTGGTATTATAAAATTGATTGTTCAGTTTTTCCGTGGTTAACATGCGCGAGTGCGAGTCTCAGTCGGCGGTGTAATTCCTATTTGAGTATCGCAGTGACCTCTGTCATGGTTGTCAAATATTAGTCACTGCTACCGACAACAGTCATCGTTTCAGGACAACTTTCGCCCAAACAATCAGATAACGAACGATCAAATCGAACTAAACGATAAGATCCTATGTTGAAAAAAAATATTTTGCGCAGAAATTCATATTATATTTTGCAACCAATTTAAGTGTTTTGAGGGCAAGGCACGGCTTAAATAAAGTGCTCGAGTTAAAAATGGTTTTAAATGATTCAATGGTATGATGGTCCTACGTGTGAAAACTCATTAAAAGTCAATTTCGATCAGAAATTAGAAACTCTTAATCACTTCTGATAACATCTTCAGAAAACAACATTGCATCAGTTTGAACTGAGTGTTTTATTAGTTATTACCCTTTAACCTACATATACATATTTTAGGCCTTTGTAGGCGTGGAGCGAAAATACTTCCTTCAGTGCGTGATCAGATCATGACCTCCTTTTTAAGTACAGTTTGCGACGAAATATGAATACATCGAATATGTCTTCATTGCCAATTTCTACTTCGAATTGGCTTTGCACAATTAAAACTTCTAAGACTATATTTAAAAAAAGTTATATTTAAGACAAATTAGACAAAGGAGGAGGTATTTTCGAACCCGTTTTATAAGCTGGTAAGCTTTAGGATTCTACATTTTCTGATTCATGATGGCTTCTCGGCTTAAACTTTGGGGAGTTAACTGTGTCCCCTGTCACTGTACCAGGATGTACCCTATGGCTTTGATGTGCTTGTTTCCATTATCTGGCTGGAGCGTTGCCTCATTTCCACACGTGTTGGAGTCATCAAATAGACCTCCTGTGCCAAAACCAATTCGTGAGTTACAGGAGGAACAGTCATTCTGCTGGTTAGCGGTGATGCCGATTCTTGCTTTGGAAAAACTGGGGCTGTCTCCCACCGCATTGAATCCTTCCCTACTGCATTTGGGCTGCAAGGAGGCCTGTGAGCCAATCAGCCACTTCCACGTTTCACGGCTCAGTGAGGTGTTGCGGTATTTCCCATCAGCAATAAGGGAGTGGAGAGAGTCGGCCCGCTTGTTGATGACGATGAATCTGAGCTGATTACTGATCTTCATACCAAGGCATATCTTGGAGAAGGATGTGGTCCAAAAGGTCGGTAACTTTGTCTCTTGTAAGTCAAAGCCAGTCTTGCCTCCTCGAAGGTTGTAAGCACTTCTGTTGCTCCAAAACTGGGAATCGTAATGGAATGTTCTCTGAAATTTATAACAAAGAATAAAATTTGTGTTTTCATTTTCAATAAGATCTCAGTAATAGCTTGTTCCAAGCTCCCCCTCAGCGAGGGCAAACAAGCAACTCTTTACGATCCTTGACGTTTCTTCAGGGAAATAGCCGCAGATTTTGCCATCCACCTTGCCGCTTCCCTCTCATCAGTGAATTTGCTCGCAGATGAATTTTTACCTCACTGCCATTAATCTTCATGATCAGCGTCCATCCTCCATCTCCGCATCCAAAGTCTCCCATGTGACAGAAAACAGATATTGGCTTTGAGTCTAAGTGCAGGGTAACCTCGCCACTCGTTTTCGATCTAGGAAGTAGATAATCTTATTAAAAGAAGAGATTCAGTCCAAACTTGTTGAAAGCCATGGCTTCCTTGTATTCAGTAAATGATATAAAGTACTTTTCGATTAGGTGATTCCTTTCAAGTGAGAGGCTAATGTGGAAGTTTATCATCAAGGTTTCTATTCTTAGCCCAATATTATTTTCAGAATTATTATTATTAAAAGTACTAGTATTTTCATATTCTCTCATTAAATTCCGCTCCGGTTTTGTTCTTGTAAGTGAATAATTGACTTACACATTCCGGTCGAAAATTTCCTTACACGTTGAAGCTGAAAAAAAAAGATAACGTATGTCAAAAGCAATAAATCCTTAAAGTGAAAAAAGACAGGATGGTGCTTTGAAATGCTCTCAAAGGGAAAATTTACATGGTCAATAGGACATATACAAAGTTCTTGGATTGTTGATTGGAACTTGCATTGTTAGCGGTGTCTAATGCGCTAGACGAGAATAAGAGCAGCAGCGCCGCGAATTTAAGCAGCATCCCAAACCATCGCGGCCTCGCCGTTTTCACTCAAGCCGCACGACGCTTCAAATGCACACCATATAAGACTGCTATTTTCGCATACAGACGTTTTCACGTCCATCAAGAAGTTAGCTTGTTTTCAGTTTGAATTCTCGGTAGTTTCTAACAAGGCATTTGTCGAAGTTTTCATTGATTTAATATAAAATCTTTATCTCGATATGCATAATTAATATAAACGAACTTTTCATTACAGTAGTCTTAACAGACAATAACAGTACAAAAACTAGTTTAAGAAATACAGCAGGAGAAATGTTACCCAAACGGCAGATATTTCCATCTCCATAGTATCCTTCTTTGCATGTACAGTTGTACGATCCCTTAGTATTGTTGCACACAGCATCAGCACTGCAGTTCGTTTTTCCTGTTGCACACTCGTCTATATCTGAAAAGACCCTCCTTTAATTAGAACGTCGTCTCTGTTATGAATTTTAAAACTAATGCTGATTTAAAACTAAAGTGTAAAAATCGAATGAAGAACAACGTTGGATTCGATGTCTCGAGAGTTTTGCAGTTTTCCTGCAGTTCTCTTGGCCATGGAAGAGTACCATCAACCAATTTGGGTATGGATCATTCAGCGAGATTATAATATACCGGATCTAAACTTTTCCAAGAACTTTCAGAAGTTGTCCGTCTTTCAAATTCACTATTTTATAAAGTATATTACTTTTAAAAATACAAAATTGTCTGCCGCTTTGCTTAATGATACCAATAAGAAACAAAATATATTTACATTTATCATTATCTATTTAATTAACAGAACAGTTTTACCTTTGCAAGTTCGTCCATCTCCAGTAAACCCTGGTTTGCATTTGCAGCGATACGATCCCTCGGTATTGTCGCACATAGCATCAGCACTGCAGTTGGATGTTCCGTCAGCGCACTCGTTTATATCTGTAAAATTTATGGCGACTGATTCAATTGGGAAAACTCCTAAACACATACCGATTTTATCATTTTAAGGGTTGAAATGTGTCTTAAGTCTCCATTCCTTTGTTCGTTCAATAAAATTAGGGCTTTAGTCACGTTTACCTTCGCAAGTCCGTCCATTTCCAGAATATCCAGGTTTACATGAACAGTTATAGGAACCTTTTGTATTGTTACAAACAGCATTTTTACTGCAGTCTTGTGTTCCTGCAGCACACTCGTCGATATCTGAAAAGATTCTTCTATAATGAGAACGTCATCATTGCAGATGTGAAAAAACTAAATTTATTGAGACCTACGTGGGATCCGACATGATACTCCTACAATTTTGGAGCAGCTTTTTAGCAAAGAGTCAGTTAAGAGCTACATGGTTCTTGCGTGAGTTTATAATAAACCAGACCTAAACTTTTACAGGTACCTTTCGAAGTTGTGTATGAGACTGTAGTCAACACGAGCATACGACCGTTTGACATGACAGGTGTTACCTTTCTTACATCTTGGACCTTTGAATCCAGCGGTACACAAACAGCGATATCCTTTGTCAGTAAAACCGCTTTGGCAAGTAGAATTATTGTTGCAAGGGTTATCAACACAAGCGCTCTGAAGCGAAAAAAAATATTATACGTTGAATTATTAATAAAATGGGAATCGAGCAGCATTTAAACTAACAATAATGATAATGTGAATGAAAGTGATCCTCGCAATAATGTGCACTACTTAGGCAGTAGTGAAAATAAGGCCTGAAAAAAATTCAGGCCTGTACGGGATTTGAACCCATGACCTCTGCGATACCGGTGCAGCGCTCTACCAACTGAGCTAACAAGCCAACTGGGAGCAGGTCATGAAGTTGATTCTAAATTAACCCGTGAAGTGATGAATAACTGGTTAAGAATACATGAAAGTCATATATTTGAACTCCGGATAAAGACGTGAATGAAAGTGATTCTCGCGAGGATCACTTTCATTCACGTCTTTATCCGCAGTTCAAATATATGACTTTCATGTATTCTTAACCATTTAATAATGATAATGCTAGAGATAGATTGACAGTGATATTAGACTTAAAGCAACAATTACAACGCTTATGACCGGGCAACTAGTTTTTTCTTTCCCTTGAAATGAGTATTTGCTAATGATGAAACACCCACCTCAGCTGCATGATAAACATAATAGTCTACCTTCTCCAGGTCGTGTTCGTGACTTTCGTGAGTAACATTATTCAATTCACATTTGTACGCTCCATGACCACTCACTCGTTTATAAAGATTAATGCTGACACAGTCGGGTTCCATATAACACATGTTGTCACAAAAATTCATTGTCAGAACTTCAACGATGCGAATGACGTGGTTTATGAGACGTCTTCCATCAAAAGTTTTTTCAGGGGTAAACTCCAACTTTCGGCATTGGTCTGCGTCACAGAAGTCTTTGAAATTTATGAAAAATATAAAAGAAGGAAAACACTGGTAAAAGAGAATATTTAAATAAATGCATTTTTCAAATCTCTTTCGTTAAGTGTAGGAATATATTTATTTTAATTCATCCATCCATTTGGTTTCCTTTTTGTCTTCCATCTTAATTTGGAAGTTAATACATTTCTATATAAATAACAGACAATTATC